GAGTTAGTTATATTTCTCAAATAATTAAGTGAGACGTTTGTCAATCTCAAAAGAAGCTGGTTGAAAGTTCTGTATATAATCAATTTTAGATGTTTGATTTTCTTTATGGCACTTGAATTTGAATATGAAATATTTAACAAGGATCTAAGTGTGTCGTGATACTTTTTTATTTTTACATCGAAAAGCAATGTGCATTTCATAAGGAGATTGACAACAGAAAATGGAGGACAGAAAAAGGTAAGTTATTGACTGTTTTATTAGTTATGCTATTTGAGGAATAATATCTTTCGTCGCAGTTTTTATTTCCTACACAACAAGTTTTGTAGTATAAAAAGATACAATGCAAAATATATTATAATGGTAATTCTGCGAATAAATATGTAGATATAGAATAAGGACAACTCGCTTGGTTTAATTTATTGCAGTTTAATAAGAGATAGTTATAAAATTTTCATCACTTTTCTAATTTTTTCTGAATAACATATGAATATTTTATTCAATATTATTTATTTAATGGAGAAACTGATATTTTTGCCGATGTTATCAATATATTTAGAATTATCTATTCTATTTAATAATAAAATAATTTTTGTAAATAATGTCAAATTTTCCATCACTGCTAGTTCTGCAAAGAAATCGTCAAAGACCAACTGAATTTAATATGAATTCAAATCATGCATCTGAACATGGAAATTGCTGAAAATAAACTCAAATTATTTTAAAATAAATTAACGTACTATATAAAAAAGTGTTGTTAATCTTTGTTTTTCATTTTATGCTCCACTTGTGTGAGGTTCTACATAGTTAAATAATTCTGTAATATTTTAATTAGATTAACGATCTGTGAAAGAGAAGTCGCCTAGGGCTCACTTTACTATATCCTGTGGTACTATGATTTTCCAGTTAGATAAACTTATTTAATTGTTGTTCATCCTTATTGTAATGTCCAGAATGTGTATAGTTTAATTCAGATATTCATGGGAACTTCCTGCTCGCAGATAATCTCTCTACACAATAAACATTTACAGTTTGTTTCAAAAATTCATAGACAGTTCATGCTAGTGAACTGTATTTTTAAGCTACGTTTAACGAAAACATGTGATTGTTATTTTATTTCATTTTTTGCAGACATATAGCGATTACTTTGCCATCCCATGAGTGTTTCTTTGTGGTTAGAAGGAAGGAGTAATACTACCGCTACTATATAAATAGTATCAAATCTTGGGTATAGCTACAACTATTCTAAATCCTGGAATGCCACTGTTCTGGTTTTCTGAACAGATCTAAACACACTTACATCACTTTATAAACAAAAGAGTCGTATGTGTTTTAGATTGTTATTCTATTTTATTTTTCCATAAATAAAATTATACAAATACTGAGTTTGTGTGTGTGTGTGTTTATAACTAATTATTTTCTTAAAACTGTTAAATAGCTATGAGCAAAGGATACCCAAGTGTATTTCATATCTCATTTACACCTTTTACCATGTCTTTTTTTCTTCTGATATGACAGATGATATTACGATGAAATATATTGTAACTCCACTGTCCTAATTTTTTAAGTAGAAAAAATACGAAGAATTTTGTGTAACAGCAGTAACATTTTAAATGGCAGTGAAAGATAAGAAATGCATTACGGAGTTAAATTTCTATTGTGTTTATTAAAGTATAGAATATTTTCAGATGTTGAGATGCCCATCATTGTAGATATTGAGGACAAAAAAAGGGAAAGAGGTTAATCTACTCTTATTATTACTTATCTGTCTAATTTGTAACCGTTGGTAATGAGATCACCCAAAGGAACACTTCCCCATTTTCTTTTGAGGTGTTTGAGTATCAAGTAACATTATAGTTAGTAAGGCAATTATGTGCCATTTTCCCTTTCATCCTTGGTTGGTTCTAAATATTAATGATAAACTTCCATCTCTTAATGGGACTGTCAATAGTTTGTATAAAATACTAACTTATGAACAAAATACTTTAAAAAAGAAGTATAAAATTGATAAATTAAATATGGGGGTGCACATTACTATAACAAAGATAGGATTGTTTGTTTGTTTTATAATTTCGCGCAAAGCTACACGAGAGCTATCTGCG